GATAAGTTGAATATATGGCATCGTTGCCTTGGCCATTTGAATGTGAAGAGCATGAGAGAGCTCAAGACCATGGTAAGTGGCTTAGATCTTGGTAATACAAGCCAAAATATAAAATAAATTGCATGTGAAGGATGCATATAAGGCAAACAACAAAAGGCCTCATTTCCAAAGAATGTAGCAACACATGCTACCAAGTTGTTGGAGATTGTCCATTCAGATGTATATGGACCTATGAAGAACACAAGTATTGGAGGATCAAGGTATTTTCTTACTTTCATTGATGATTATTCAAGAAAGATTTGGATCTACATTCTTAAAGCGAAGAGTGAATACTTTTGGAGGTTTAAGGAGTTTAAAACACTTTTTGAGAAACAAAGTGAATGCAAGATCAAGGTGCTGCATATGGGCAATGGATGTGAGTACATGTCTAAGCAATTTGATGTTTATTTGAAGAATGAAGGAATTGCTAGACAAACCACAACTCCATACACTCCACAACAAAATGGTATTGCTGAAAGGGCAAATCGAACCATTGCAGAGATGGCAACGAGCATGCTTCATGCTCAAAACCTTGGCTATGAGTTTTGGACAAAAGTTGTGGTGAATGCACTATATACAAGAAATAGGTGTTCAACAAGTATTCTTATATCAATGACACCATAAGAAGCTTGGAGTGGGAGACAACCTTGCATTTCCCATATGAAGACCTTTGGTTGCATTGCATATGCAAAAACACCAGATTGTATGAGGTCCAAACTTGATGCAAAAGATACAAAGTGTGTATTTCTTGGTTATTGTGAAGGTACTAAGGTATATAGGTTAATGTGCTTGGAAACCAAGAAGATCATCAAAAGTCGTGATGTTGAGTTTTTGGAGTACAAGAGTGCTTGTGAGCACTTGGAGATGTCTCCAAGTGGGAGTAATGGTGTGTTTATGGACACATCTTTGAATTCAGCAAAAAAACAAGAAGATGAAGACTATAAAGTTGATGAAGATGAAAAGCCAAAGAAGGTTGAAAAGATGAAGGCTCCGACAATTACTAGGACCAACAATGAAAGAAATGAAGATGTTGAACATTGGGATGATGATAATGATGAAGAGTACCAAGCATTGAATGAAAAATGATAAGATTTAAGAGTTGGAAAAGAAGAAGGAGTGCAAGAAGGTGAATGTTCTTCTACAAGTGAAAGGAGATATCTTTTGAGAGAAAGAAGGCAACGTGGCAAATGGTGGAAGGATCACATCTTTCCTCAAGTATGTAAAGAACATGCAAATGTTGCTCTTCTTGCTGATCTATTATCTTTGTGTGATGCTATGAAGTGTAAAGATGCAATCAAGTAGGAGAAGGCTATGGAAGAATAGTACCAATCTCTTATAGACAATGGTACATGGGAATTGGCACCTATTCCAGCAAATCGATCTAGTGTTGGTTGTAAGTGAGTGTTTAGGACTAAAAAAGATGCAATGGGTGTGGTGGTGAGGCACAAGGTAAGATTAGTTGCAAAAGGATACTCACAAGTTTCTAGAATTGATTTCAATGAGACTTATGCACCCGTTGCCAAATTCACCACCATTATGACCATTGTAGCAATTGGGGCAACAATTGATTTGGAAATATACCAAATAGATGTGAAGACGACCCTTTTGAATGGAGAATTATAAGAAGACATCTACATGGAGCAACTTCAAAGATTTGTACAACAAGGCAAAAAACATCTTGTGTGCAAATTGAAGAAATCCTTGTATAGATTGAAACAATCACTAAGGGCATGGTACCAACGAATTGACACCTTCTTTGTCAATGAAGGATTTGTGAGGAGTGAAGCTGATCATTTATTGTATGAGATGCAATCTAGAAAGTTCTTGCTGATTGTAATCCTTTATGTTGATGATTTGATCATCTCAGCTAACAATATAGAAAAGATGGATTGGATGAAGGTCAAATTAGAAAAGGAATATGAGATGAATAATTTGGAAGAGTTGTACTATTGCTTGGGAGTGGAATTTGTAAGGGATCATGGTAATAAGACCATTACAATGAGCCAAACCAAGTACATTGAAGAAGTGTTGAAATGATTCAACATGGAGGAGTGCAAGCCTATTGGAACACCCTTGGAGGCAAATTTGAAATTGATGAAGCTCACGGATGAGGAATTTGCACAAGTTGAAGGTGAGATACAAAGTGTTCCATACAAGGCAGTAGTAGGCTCACTCATATATACAATTGTGGCCACAAGAGTGGATCTTTTGTATGCGATGAGTGTTGTAAGCCAACACATATCTAAGGCTGGACCAATGCATTGGAAAATGGTAAAGATAATATTGAGGTACTTAAAAGGTACAAAAGACTTCAAATTGTGCCTTGGTGGTAAGAACATTGACTTGCAAGGTTATTATGATGCGAATTGGGTTGGAGATGCAAATGATAGAAGATCCACAACAGGATATGTGTTCTTCATTGGAGTGGGAGCCATTTCATGGAATTGCATGAGACAACCTACCATTGCAAGATCAACGATGGAAGCAGAGTACATGGCAGCAAGTCATTGTACAATGGAGGCGTGTTGGATAAAGTAACTCTTAAAAGACATTGGTCTAGTGTAATTAGAAGCAACTCTAATTATGTGTGACAATCAAAGATGTCTTACATTTGCCAAGAATCCAAAACACCACTCAAGGACCAAGCACATTGATGTTCAACATCATTTCATACGAGAGAAGATTGAAGATGGAATAATAGGTATGAAGTATTGTGCTACAAATAACATGCTTGTTGATGTGCTTACAAAGGCATTAGTAAAGGATAGATATCATAATTTGATTCAGAGATTAGGATTAAAAGCCTTTTGAATATTAGCAAAGTGGGAGTATTGAAATTAGCAAGTACTTGCTTAGTTACAACCATATAGAGATTAAGCATAGTATGTTGCTAATAGTAAAAAAGCAGCAAAGAGTTAAAGTAAGTTATTGTGGTGGCATCAAAGGTTTAGTTGGATTAGGTAGAAATGGATGTAATATCAAAAGGATGGAAGTTGCCTCGTTGGTGAGCAAAATACTACCTATAATTAAAGAGTGTTGGAAGTAAGAATCATCTTTCTCCACACTTCTTTTAGACTACAATCCTTGCTGATGCTAAGTGTTTGTAGCTTTTAGACTTCTTTTCTTCAATACTATTTGGCAATATACCATAGGACCTTCAACATGTCTTGATTTTGCAAAACACGTATCTTAACTTGCAAGATAATTTTTTTTATATACGCATGACATTATTAGCTTATTCTACAAGCTACCAATATTTTTGATACATGGTTAACTTGTTGATTAAGTTTCTAACCTATCAATCAACTACAAATGCATATAAAATCAAAACTACATCTATGAAGCTTCTAGGAAGCTTTTTTAAAAGATATTATGAAATTAATTTATTTTTATTTACTTTTATTTAATTATATAGGTAATTATTGAAATAAATATGACACACATATATTGGATTAAGACCAAGTCAAAATTGGAATAGATAAATAAATTTTTCTATATATTAAGAAATTAAAAATATATATATATATATATATATATATATATCTTATATTTGTAGTGATTTTGGTTTTGTTACACAAATTTTTTATTTTTATTTTATCCTTATATTAAAACAAAATAGAAAAAATAAATAAATTATAGTGATATATATATATGAAATAATATGAAATAATAAAAATAATAAAATTATTCTATTTTCTCAATAAAAATTAAATTATTGTTCAAAAAAAAAAAGAAATCTACACCTAATTAAATTTCTTGCTAAATGACCAAATATATCAAAATTAAACATATTATATAAAATGATCATTATTTGAAATCAAATTGTAAAGTTTTTTTAATTTTTTTTTTTAGATTATCATTAATACTTTTTCAAGTAAAAATATTATTTTAGGATTTAGATATATTTTTTTATAAATTATAAATATAACAATAGATAATTCTAAATATCAAAATATCTCCAAATAGTAGCAACTTATATAAGATCTTTTATGTCTTAAAGAATCAATGATAATTAAGAAGCAACAACTTTTAATAAATATTATATTAGAAGTCAATCACTATATTTTTTTAATTTTTTAAAAATAATTAAAGAGATTTATATGAATGTATACATATATAAATATATATTCAAAATATATAAAAAAATCCCATATAATCCTAACACTTTATTAGTATTATATGAATTTTATTTTTAAATTTTTTTATTAATATTTTTATAGTATAATTTTGGAATTTAAGAATATTTTAATAATGAAAGTTTAATATTTTAATTTCACCTATCATTGTTATTGCTATTTTGTTTGTATGAGTTAATTTAATTTAATTTTTGTAATGTGTATTTGTTCAAGACACATACTTCAAAAATTTTAAAAAGCTGTTAATTAGAAGATCAGTGAATAGATATTATAATTTCAATAAACCAAAATAAACTAATCATGCTGAAATTTTTTAAGATTCTCATTAGGAAATTCTGTAAAGGGATTAAAAATAGAAAAGGAGGTCAAATCACAACCTACTTTGCAAAACTTACACTTTATAATATTAGCTACCAATAGCACACATTTCAAGGATTATATCGAAGTCAAAAAATTCAAAATGTACTCTAAAACCGAAAAGAAATTCATTCATGTGTTGATGCAATAATTCGGAACTAGAATTGAACAAAAATGCAACCTTGTATATATTTATTTACTATTTAAAACGTCCATGGTCACAAAGAAAGTATGTTTGTAACCATCAAGCAAAAGACATTCCTTGCTTAACTTTTAAAAATCACTTAAAGCAAGTATTCACGTACTACATTAAATGCAAGTCGACCTTGGATGGAATCCATGTCGACGGATGAAGAAAATCACCACGAGGATACATCCACGCGTGGAATATGAGATACGGGGCGTCGCATGGAGGGGAGCGTCATCCCCCCAGCCCGTGCTAGGGGGGGGGGGGGGGGTGGGGGGATGGCAAAATCCATGGCGAAGTGGATAATGAGCCTCGAGGTCCAGCTCCCTTTCGATTGTGTGTGCCGTCGTCGCCTCCAGCGACGCCGATCCCTGCCTTCTCCGCCATTCCGTCGCCTTTGCTTCGCGGGATTTCTCCCTGCGTCCTACTCTCTTCGAACCCCTTCTCTAACCTAACTGGGTTCACAGGATTGAGAAAATCCCACAGACGTGCTGAAGTTATAGGCATCGCTGTCTGGGAATCGACGGTTTCATTCTCTCGAGTGAGTGGGTGAGTGGGTGAGTGTGTGAGCGGGATTCCACATTTGGGTTGTACCGTGAGGTGTGGCGTCGTATTAGTTGCGTGAGGAATTAGAGGAGTCCGAGGAGGGGTTAGATGAGGGGGATGCGAGGAGAAAGTAGGGTTTAAGGCGGGGTTTTGCGGAGGTTGAAGAAGAATGGTGCGCCTGAAGGTTGGGTCTGCCCTGGCGCCCTCAGCCTCGCCCTCTTGTTGTGCAGCTTCCGTGCACAGGAATGCCTCTAGTTTTTTGCTGCAGTGTCAGGTGCGACCTGTTCTGCTCGCCTCGCGGAGCTCTCCGTTTCTGTCGTCGCGGTTGCGACTGAGGTGCCATTATCCTGGTCCGGTAGGGAGGAGGGTTTTCAGGCAATTGGCGCGTGCAGCGTCGCGGGAGGATGAAGCTTACTATGGAACGGATGCTTCGAGTGCTTCTGAGGGTGGTGATGAGACATTGAAAGATGGTGGTCGGGAGTCGAATTCGGCATCAGGTGGAGATGAGGGGGAAGCTAGGCCAGGGGATTTTCCTTGGTTTAAGGATGTGATTGGGTTGAAGACGAAAGAGGAATTGCAAGCGGAGGCAGAATCGAAAACCGACCAAGTTCTAGAGGTCTGTGTTACATGTCCGTGTTGCATTACTGCGTAAATTTTGTATTAGCAACGGTTGCTGGAGTTAAATGCACGCTGGTAAAACCAGGTTTTATCAGAGAGCAATGGGAGAGCTTGAAATTCTGAATTTTAACTGTTAGGAGAGTACGATATTTGTCATAACTAAACAGCATAATGTGGGATTTCTCGCAGACTATAAGGCAATCAGAGATTAGGCGCCTCACCGAAGAACATGAGCTCGAGAGGCAGGCTGAGATTCAGGCCGAGAGGGACATGATACAAAATACCATGTGGTCAAAATCTATTCTTAAGTTTCAGGGGAAGCTTAAAGGGACGCCCTGTGATCCATTACCAGGTGAAGATATTCCGTACAGTGTTTTGATGCAGCTTCTTGAAGAGAAGAGGGTTCAGTACGTGGATTATGGTGAATTTGGGCAATACGTTGCAGGTTTGTTTTACCACCTTAAGCTTTTCTTGTTGGTTCTGTTACAGTACTTTGGAGGGTTTCACTGTTGCTCTGTAGTACGGAAGCTCTTTGTTTTGAAATTTCTTCCCATTTTACTGGAATCTAAACAGAGGGATTTATTGCGAGTTGCGTAGAACAAGTGTTTTTTTCTTTTTTTTCTTTTTCGGTGTTCTTTTTTGAGGCAATTGATTTTTTTGATCGCAGTTATATTGCCTCATGAGAAGGAAGAAACAAATCAACAGACCGAGCAACCTGACAGCGTTGAGTTGGACGAATCGACCCCCAAAGCTCCTCATTTGATTCAACCTAACGAGGAGAATTTTGTCTTTAAAAGACATCTGGTTGATAACATGCCTGCAGATGGATGGAATGACATGTGGAAGAAACTCCACACACAAGTTTCTCACGTAGAAGTGGTTCATCCGCGTTCATTGCCAATGCAGATGTATCCGACCTTTGAGACTGCAGTGGTGTGGGGTATGCGTCTTGTACTTGCAGCTGCCGTATTCAAGTTTGTTGATGGCTGGATGTATCCCTTTTATAAAATGAAGGGTCCAAACGACCGGCCAGTCTCTCGCCGGCCTAAGCTCAGCAACTTCGACAACGCTGAACTTGGAGCCCTTGGTCAAAGCAGGTAATTACAATTTAATATGTAATGAAGCATTTTCACTGCGTGATTTCTTGCTTTTCTTTGATATACGCACCAGCGGGATTCATGAATGTTTTCGAAGTTAGATTGAGTGCAAGAAGCGGAATGATGCGTGACCTCTGGTTCCTTTAATAAGTTTGATCTCACATTGTCTCAAGCTGGTGTTGCCACCTTGGTGTCTGTATCCATCAAGGAGTCGATTACTTGTAGGATTTCATTGAGTTCGATTGTACTCTTAGATATAGACTTATCGTCGAAATTCTGGAGTACTTTACCTCGCTATGAATTTTACTATGGTTCATCTCCTGCTTTGTATTACAAAGATTTGCAACCTATATTAATGCTTGCTGTTCTTTATGTACAGGGCAAGGTTTATCTCTGCAGAAGAGAGCACTGGCGTCACCTTTGACGATTTCGCAGGTCAGGAATATGTGAAGCGAGAATTGCAGGAAGTGGTTAAAATTCTCAAGGATTCCAAGGAATTCGAAGATTTGGGTATCTACTGTCCAAAGGGTGTACTTTTGTATGGTCCTCCTGGGACTGGAAAGACATTGCTTGCTAAGGCTATTGCTGGAGAAGCTGGTGTTCCTTTTTTCTCTGCCAGTGGAGCTGAGTTTGTTGAGGTACTCCCTACTTTTGGTTTGGGCTGCTGCAAAGTTATTGTAGTGAATTGGTGATATTGGAGTATTTCAATAGTTTCTGTCTTGCTCTTCGTTTATTTGATTGAAGTTGTGTGGTACCAATATTCAATCATCAGTATCTGATTCCTTGTAGAGTATGCTGATTATGGTGACTTAACATATGCTGTGGCTGGTGCTTAGATGTTTGTGGGAGTAGCTGCAGCCAGAGTAAGAGATCTGTTCACAAGAGCACGGCAATTTGCACCTTCCATTGTGTTTATTGACGAGATCGACGCTATTGGTGCCAAGCGCGGTGGACCTGATGTTGGTGGGGTAAGTTATTATGATATATCTCTTTCAAGTCTCATGTAAAAATTAGGCTGCTCATGTGAATAATTGTGGAATATGCACTTGGCTTGATCAGTCATACGTACAAACTTCTGGATATAATTCAACGTTTCATGAGGATCTGATGCTTGCCAGAACAGCTTAACCAACGTATTTTCCTTCTTGGTAGCTCATATAATATGTGGTGTAATTTCTTTGACATAGATTATTGCGTTTTGGCCCACAGGGTGGTGTGGAGAGAGAACAAGGTTTGATTCAGATTTTGACTGAGCTTGATGGGTTTCAGAGCCAAGGGTCCAAGGTATTTCTGGATCTTATAGTTTACAATAATCTGATGTTATACGATTGTGTATTAAGAAACTGGCTCAAGTCGTCAATATGTTGAGGGTGCTTAGACATGCCCAAACTCTTTGTTTCCTCGATGTGTAATTTGGCAATGTCCTAGACTTGGGCACACCGTTCTTTCGTTTTGTCGATTTTGCACAATATACTTGTTCTTTGCTGTGCTGATAAGGTCCATTCTTGCCTAATTTCTTGCATATATTTAACATTTCGCATCATTCAGGTTTTAGTGGTGGGAGCAACGAACAGGCTGGACATGCTGGATCCAGCACTTCTAAGAAAAGGACGTTTTGATAAGACTATCAGCATTGGGCTCCCCTCTGAAGAAGGGCGTCTCGCAATCTTGCAGGTATCTGGATCTTTTATTTGGTCTTTTATCAAAGAATAGCTTTGAGTGTATACATCTGAGTATTTACATATGATATACAGCTTCGGGTTTTTGAAGCCCTTAAGTTTGTTTTCGTCGTAGACTATTATCTGTATTCATGACGGAATCATGGATTGTGTAGGTGCACTCCCGCAACAAAGGCTTTAAGTCTGAAAAAGAGAAACAAGAATTGTTGAAGGAATTAGCTAGCATCACTTTTGATTACAGTGGTGCTGAACTGCAAAATGTTCTGTAAGTACCTTACACTTATTACATTTGTATTTACTTTATCTCACGAAGAGGTGTTTAGGGTTGGATCTCTGTAATTAATTGAGCAAATATTTAACAAATGTTGCTTTGTTGAAGCTGCCTAAGTATACGGAATTTTTTTGCGCAACGCTGATGTTTGAGTAGGAATGTGATTTTCAGTAAGAAGTCTATCTTTGCACACTCATTCGTCAAGATTCATTGTTAACACAGGAATACCTGTCACATGCTGCGAAGTTCGGATGAAATTGACTGGTTAGAGCTGTACTTTTGATTCCTGTACAGGAACGAGGCAGCAATTTTAGCAGCACGGAAGGATAAAGATATTATTGAGAAACCTGAGATTATGGAGGCTATCAGGAGGGTAGGATTTTTAGGCCTTTCTTGGGCTTCCGAACATGAGAGCAAGGCTAATATGCGTTGATTTATTGTATTCGTCAAGCTTATTTACTCAGACAATTTGTGAGATTCATTTTGAAATGCAGGATTCCTTTTTTAAATTCTTTGGTTTGTGTATTTCAGCAAGCTGGAGATTTCGCTACCGGAGAGGAGGATGCAGTTGATGCTAGTGGGGAGGCTCGCTTACGTATTGCTTACAGGGAGGCGGCTATTGCCCTACTCGAGTGTTACCTACCGAATCCACATCGGCCGTTCGTGAAGGTATACTTTCTCAGAAATACTCATTTTTTGAAATTCTCAGAAATAAGCATTGGTTTCGCACATGGAGAACGTCAAGTGATCAATGTTTTTTACAATAGTTAGTATGGAATACGCCCAAAGCCTGATGAATAGACCCAATAACACTGTTTTGACTGTTGCAACAGACTAACGTGCGGGAGATTGATACATATCCGAACATGGAGTATGCTGATTCTCGAAACCGTGTCTTCGCTCACAAGTCTGATTTAGTTGACTCTATTGTGCGCGCCTGTGCTCGTAAGTGAAGCATTTTGTACTGTCTTTCTGCATTCTGATCTCTAGTAGTTTGACTTCAATAATGACTTCTCATGTGTAGGATTCCTTTTTTCGATTCTGTCTTTTGATCCCCTAGGATATTCAAGTTGAATGGAATACTGATTGTTCTGCCCCTGATGTTTGCGCCAAACGTTATACAGCTCGGGTTGTGGAGGAGTTCATATTTGGAAAGGGCAACCTATCATGGATGTCGGGTTCTGCACTCAGCGAGGCAGGTTTATTGGCGGACTATATGATTCTCCGGACAGGCATGACTGCTTTGGGGAAGATATACTACCGTACTCAACAGGATGTCATGCTCCATGTAAGTTTATTAAGTAGATAGAACGTATTATTAAATTGTCATGGAAATTGTGCGCATAGGAACATGATTTGAAAGTTCTCGTGACTAGGCTCTGTGATTAGCCATGATATGGTTAGTCTAATTGCATGTGACAGTTAGCCAACACTCGGATTCCTTCCTCACCGCACACTCATAAATTTTGCATACCAAATCAGTGAATTTCGTGTTCATTTTGTCACCTGTGATGCAGATTGTGCCTAAAGTGCAAGCTCTACGAGATGAGTACATGCGCTATGCAGTGGAGAAGTGTTCATCAGTATTGAGGGAGTATCGTTCTGCTTTAGAGACGATTGCAGGTGCTTGACATAATATCTCACAGCGTCTTTTTCGCGTTAGTCTCTGCATGGACGTTAAACATTATGTGCGTAATTGTGTTATCGAGTGCTTCTGAGAGTTGACATTTAAATGAAAAAAAATCTGTTATCATCTTCGCAGAGAGATTGTTGGAGAAGGAGGAGGTTGGCGCTCCTGAAATTTGGGATATTTTCCACAAGGCTCCTCGCATTCCCCAGGTACTTCAATGCTTGAGCTTGCTTTGCCGTCCTTCCGACCTGTTTATATTCGTCTTTTAGGGCTGCATTAGCTTGAAATTCTGTGACTTGGATGTGTTTGTACTTAACGGAAGTTTTTTGGACGCAAAGCCCGAGGTAAGGCCTGTCAACGAGCATGAGGCCCTCATGTATGCTGGGCGTTGGGGCATTCACGGAGTTTCACTACCAGGACGAGTCACCTTTTCTCCGGGCAATATTGGATGGGCCACGTTTGGTGCTCCTAGGCCTCAACAGGTGCACATTACTATATTTGGTCTTTTTTTCTGAGTCAGTTTTGGAGTTTCACATTATTAATCATGACTTGCTTACAATTCCAATTGATTTATTAATTTGTTAGTGATGCAAAATGGTGATCATTCTAATTTGTTTCCCATGTACACTGCAGTTGAGAGTAATTAGCAATGAAGCATTTGCGATGCTTGATAAGATACGAGATGAAAATTTAGCAGACATAGCAAGGAGGACTGAAGAGGATGACGAAGAGGAAGTTCCTGATGTGATTTATCCTCGACAATTTTTGTGAAGTCACACATAGTAATCAATTTAGCGATTTCATTGGTGCACATATTTTGTCACTCATTATCCTCAATCCCAGTTTGTCACTTTTTTGGAGGTAAAGTATTGACTGAGGCACTTTCAGAACAGTGAAGCTACAGTATTCCACTTGTAGAGAAGGCAACATGGACGCATTGACTGTTCCTAAGCATATCTATCTTGTAGAACAAAGGAAAGTTCTTTGCGCTTTGAGGAGGTTCACAATGCATATTCAAAGGCTGGGAATAAATCCACTTGCTTGGCGTGTACACATACAATCAAATGAGTCCACTATCCATGACTTTGGAAAAGACATGCAAGGGTGAATCTGTTCTTTCTTAATTACGCCTTCGTGTTTTCCTTCATCTCAGTACGAGGTGCTGTTAACTTGGATATGTCATGGCAGAGCTTGCAAGTATTACTCATGAAATCTCGAGAAAGAACATATACTTACTAATCTTCTTTCTTATTTATTTCTTAGCATCTATACATGCATACCATGAGTAGATAGGGGTCTACAGGTGAATTTGTAGACTTAATGAGTGGATGAATAACATCTAATAGATTACTATTTGTGAGATTGAATTTAATGCACATGGATGTGCATTGTGTTTCTTGCATATTCTCCATAAACTTGAGGTAGCAAGCAATTAGGTAATAGTGGCACATCCCTTTGTTCTATATAATTTTTTCTTTTGATGTTAGATGCTTGTCATATGGTCAAGGAGATGTTTTACAACTGAAGAGTTTTAAATTTAAGTTTAGGTGATGGTGATACTTTGATTTAACCTTCCCATAATATATTGTTTTTAGAGATAAGATTTATCTTTGGACTACTTCTAAACTTGGGTTTTTGTTTAGTTAAACTTTTTTGAGCAAATCTTATCTCTTTTAGACTACAAGTTGCTAAGTTCAATGAACATATCAAATATTATGAATTAGTCCAAACTCCTTATTCAAAATTTTTTCTTTTGAAGGTCAATTTCATATGTTTATTTTTTTAATATCAAGTGTAGAGGTTGATTTTTAATGGTTGAATAGATACATTTACTCTTTAAACAAATGAAGTAGAAGGTTTTTTATATTCACTTTGATTTGAAAAAACATATGAAATTAACCTTTAATTGATTTTATTTGTTTACTTGTTTGTTTTTTTTCATAATGAATTTATTACTTTTTAGAATGTAAGTTTAATCATGAATTGGTTCTAAATTTTACTTTAGGTGTGTATGAACTAGTAATAATTATTATTGTATTCTATATAATTATAATTTTTTATAGAATAGAGAAGAAAATAAAAATGAGAAGATGTAAGATTTATTATTTATTGTTGTAGACCAATGTGCTTCAACTTCTTCTTTTATCTTTCAGTATTATGGATACTGTAAATACAAGATATATTTACCACCTTGATTTAATACTTGATGTATTTTCTTATGGAAATCTATATAGTGTTGATTATATAATAGCATTATCCAAAAAAATAATTTCTTGTACTTATTTCTTACATTAATATTAGTGAAAGAACATTAAATTAATTTTATAAAACATGATCATATCCTAAAATGCTTAAAACTATTAAAATAATTTTATTAATGTTATTCTTAGTGGATTATTAATATGAATGATAAAATATGGATAATCAATATTTAATTAATTCTTTGCATTAGACTTTGCAATATGTTTTGATTGTTTGAATGTCGTTTTGATAAATATAAGTTTTATAATTTTTTTATAATTTAATAAATATTTATTATCTTCTACTAGAACTCTAAACTTTTTAAGAAATAAACACCTTGAAAATCTTAACAAATTAAAAAAAATTGTTGAACATTGTTAACAACTCTAAGGGATTGTTGTAATTTAATATCTTTGACATTAAAAAGATGCTTTTTTTTAAAGATTTAATAGTTGGCAAAAGTGTATAGAGGCATAATTTCAAAAACTACTCCAAAACTTGCATCCTCATTTATATTATTTCAATACTCAATTGCACATGGTTTGACTTAAGTGATTATATATTTATATAAATAAACATATATACCATCTATATAATAAGAAAGTTTAAGGTGCTCATCGCCACCGTCAGATTCCGTTACATTCCGCCAGAATTTCTGATGGATGGCAGCTTAACAGGGTGCTGCAAACAGTTGGTTTATTTTTGTTGTGAGCACTGAGAGTGGGATGTATGCATCGCTTCGCAACTGGAAGCATTCTCTCACTGCTGATTCGTTTCAGTGGTGGCCAACTTTTGGGTTCACTCGTGGCTCAAGTTTTTAGAAGTTTGTGACGATCGCCAGATTAGTGCTGGACATCAAAACCCTGTTTATGGAAAGCATGGTAGGTGCCAGGTTGAGAATCGGCTTGATGTCTCCATCGTGCCCGAATCAAATTGCTGTGCGAAAACTGAGAGTAATCACGCAGAGGGTCATGTTGTGAAGGATCCAGATACTGGGGAGGAGATGTCTCCCCCGAGTCGCCCAATTGAGTTTGCATTGTTAAGGATTATCCAATGTGATAGTCGTTCAATTGAAATATTCTAGGATTAGTCTTTTTCATGGATGTTAATGCCTGCTGAAAACGTAAATCATTCTTCCGTGACACCCTGCTGAAAGCATCCATCTCAAGAATTCCATTGAACTTTTTGCAGAACTGAACATACTATTCAAGGATTCTTTTTGATGCAGAACTTGTCAAAGAGGGATAATATGAAACAAGAGAGATTTGTCAAGCGGGACTGATGCCAACTTAAGATCTTGGGTTCACAAAACTGTCGCAAAGTAAGGCTTAATAATGTACTGATATTCTCGCATGACAACTTTATTTGCAGTGAAAAACTTGAGTCGACTGCGTAACCGATTCTCATCTGATGATCTCTAACTCAGCACCCCCATTAATATGTTGTTCCTGTTTGATGTCATCCAAAAGAAGCCGCATAGGTTCCAAATGCCACAGAGATCTGGATTTGTCAGCAAATTGTAATCGAAGTACCTGATACTAACCTTCTGTAACCTTTTGCAGATGGCAATGCAGAAGGACGTGGTTTGGGCTCGAACGGCTGCTTCCAAGGTACTCGATCGTCTGTGAACACCATATCTGAGGCGTTCGGAGTCCTCTTCTCAAATCAAATTTGTAATGTGTCATGGTGTTGTGCAAATATGTGACATAAATGTATTTGCAAAAATAAAAGGGTGCGACTAGAAGGAGATTAGTGGAAACTTCAGAGTCAAAGCAAGATAGCGACGACGAAAACTTGACCGGGCAACTGGAACATTTCTCAAGAAGCGCCTGAGGGACAAGTACATCCATCAATAAGCCAATGAGTTTGATAATTCGCCACGCAAGTTAAATGAACCTGACGACAAAATGGATCACACTGTAGCTGAGTATGAGCAAGATGGACCAGATACAAGCATGGAGGACGCAAACCAGGATGATATGACGCCTCTTAACAGTGAACTGGAGGAGAAGCGCCTGGACTTGCTCACAAGTCTACCGCCAGACTAATATGGTCAGTATCCACCACAACTCTTCTGCACGTTGAACAGTTCGGCTTGATCAGCACCCAATTTTAGAGATCAGTTAACTGAACGCATCGCCCCTAATTTTTGTGTGGTGTAACCCTTCTGCAAAATTTCTTATTGCTATCATCGTTAGAGTAAAATAATCAATCACTGACACTGTGAGCAGTGCCCATCTCTGCGAATAGTCTGCAGCTCTAAAACTGTTCTCGGTTCAGACTGAAATTTATTGCAAAAATAACCCTACTCTAACTGCTTTGGTACAGTAAAGGACAGATGCCAGGTGGGAGAGCTGCTAGAGGTTAAGTATCGAGACAAATAGCATGAAACAAATGAAGTCCCAGTCGACAGTATGTTGCAGGCAGAAATCGACCAGCTGCTTCGTGCGATGGACTTAGCCAAAGTAGCAGTTATTATCTTGCCGTGCATGACCTTTTCTTGGATTGTCTTGATAGCCAAAGTAGCAGTTATTATCTTGAGCGCCCAAATCCCTTAATGTCGTTTAGTTCTGAGGATGGTGAATGTGTGAATATGATCCTGTTTTTTCAACGTGCAGGTAACATTTTGAGGAGATTTTTTCTGCACTGAGTAAGAACTATTTTCAGCGGACTAACAGAAGCCAAATCACAATCACATTTGAGTGATGAGTATTGCCAGGAGGTCATCTTGCATAGTAAGGCAGAGAGCTTTGATGTACGCTTCCAATGTCTCGAGGGTGGAAACGGAATGTGTTTAGTGCAAGCCATTTGTCAATCAATGAAAAATCGAATCAATCAGCTGTCATGTACTTAGCTGTAGGTTCTGAAGAAACAATGATTATGTGTATGCAGAAGATAAACTCAAGGTGGTGCTTCGGGAAGATGAGCCCCGTATTATCTCACTGGTTCGGGAAGTTATAAGATTTACCAAGCTCTTGGAGGAAGAGAAAGTTCTGGAGGTGCCAGCCTCAGCAGTTTGCAATCCAAGCAGCTGAAATCCTCCACTCTCATCCAGAAACGAAGAATACGAAATTAAAGTAAACAGATTTATGAGAGGTAAAATTTCGAGTGACCAGATGTGTATCGTCTATAAGATATGGGGCAACTTAAAGCGTTCAATTAAAGCTGTCTAGCTACACCTTTTCCGTTGCTGCACCCATTTAGATAAAATTTGAGCAAGTAACAAGTTACTTGTGTAGACCGACCTGATGGTTGATGATAAAAACAAATAAAACTAACAGGTCTCACTGCGTTTTATAGATATGAGCACTATCACCTGTCCTCGACTACATTTTTAGCATTCATCCTAGAATTCAAGCTACAAGTTTCAAATACAAGCGCCAATTCTTGTTGTGGTTACAAGCTGTATTGCTTCTGTCCAGGTGCACTTGCCCTTCGTCGTTTGTCCGGATGCCAGCGGTTCTTTCACGTTGCCTTGCCTAGATCAGAAGGTTTTTGCATTACATTTATCACAAGATTGATGGCTCCAGTGGTCAATCGATTCTAATGTCTATTCAATGCTGGAGTGATGGAAGAGACCAAACTCATTGCCTACCTAAGTAGAATTAGTAATATCAATGGCTCAATGAGTTTCCAATAATTCTTACCAGGTAATGTCTGAAGCTTGTAACTTGAAGAGAAATTCCTGTAAGTCCAGTATAATCCATTGTAAAACTGTTATGGCCGTGTCTTTTAGCCTCAAACTGATCTACAGGTGATCTGTAGGGATGTGACGTATTTTTGTTAGTCTGTAAAGAGATTTACCTATATGCGTACAAATTAAAGACAAAACTTCTAAACACAACTGAAAAGAGAAATAATTTTGATAAAAAATACATTTAAGTAGGAAATGAAGAACCAGAAGATAAAACGTAGTACGAGTGAATCTTTTTAAGAATCTATACTCTACCCGTAGGATTAGGGTTTTGTTGGTGAAGAGTAACACTAATTTGAATCATGTACAGACATATAAGCTGAATCTACGAACCTAATATGCTGGGGAGGAACGCTCAGAAGCATCGCCTAAAACTTGCTGTTGTAATTGCTCAGGTGCTTGCTCATGTTCCTGTTCTTGCTGTTCTTCTTCGTGCTCTTAATCACAATCAATCTCGTTACTATCTCCATTATCCAGCTTCCCATGATGAATCTCTGCAACACAACGACAGCGTCAACATATCCATTGCAGTCATCTGGAGAATTCATGTTTGATGATATTCGGACATTAGATCGATAATCAAATGACACATAATTCTTACTGACGTTTGCATGATTTGAGTAGAAGGGAACGAATATGATTTGGTGATGAAAGGACCCACTTTCAAGAGCTGTCACTTCTTGAAGAGAGGCAATAAAGTCATCCCATGATATGCCCTTGAGTTCTTCCTTCATGTCATCAGGCAATTCATTATTTGTCTTGCGTCCAATCACAAACGCTGCTCTGGATACATGTCAAGTCAAGGTTACTTATCAGATATTTCTCTGAATAAGTTGCAGACCTATACGACACTGCTAAATAGATCTGAACCATCAACTAAGATGCTGCAAGACTAAATTGACCTGAAAGATAGAAGGCAATCAGACCCACGAAGAATTCATCCGATAATCTCTCTCACCGATCATAAAGACGCCCAGCTTCTTCCTCTGAGCAGCATTTTCCTAAGCCAATTTGTTGTCCCTTGACTGTAATAGTAGCGATAAACTTCTTATTCTTGTTGTGAGTCGTTTTGACTCCCCGCAACAAGCATCTTTTCTCTTTTTGCTGCCAAGGTGTAACTTTCGGTTTCTTCGGATCTTCTCCCTCACTAACTGTTCGCACAATCAATGTGGAGGAGTTTAGGCATACCAACACGAGCCTTGTAAGATACGATTTCAGAATTCGTCGTCTTCCGTAGAGGAATGCCTGAAAGGACCACCGAAAAAGACACTTTCCTCACTGACTTCAAATGAATGAGTCTTCCACAGTCATCAAAGAAACTGGTTTCACTGCAAAATATCATCTAAACATTGAGTAAAATCAATGAAGAGACTCATTAACGCTCACAGATCTTTATCACTGACCTTTCTTTTTGCCTGCAACAACTTCCTCAAGAATAGGTGCTTCTAGTTGCCCAGGTGAGTGTGTAAGTGCCCCTCTCAAAAAGCCCCTACACAGAAAGACCAAAAACGAGGTTGGGAAGAAATTATCATAATTATAAGATGAGAATATACGTAGGACAAGTATACTTCTTCATCCCTGCACTTTGAAACTTTTAAAATGCAGGATAATGAATTTGACAATGAAGTGGTTAGAAAATGACCTACCAGCTTTTTAAACGAAATTCAACAGTTACCGGATATTGTGATTCCTCATTTACCTACTTCACGATTTATGAGTTTCAGGATGTCTCTAGGTTAAGAGAATTAAGAAATATCATAAATATTAGAGAACAGGGGATAACAGCAATCGGGTCAGGTGTTTGAAGTTGATGGATAGCATTCACAACCTTGGCAGACCACCTGGAAACATGGGCGGCACAAACGCAGGAATACCGTAAGGAGGTCTAGGCAACATGGACATTTCGTAAGGAGGTCTTTGACCTTGAAGATGTGGAAAGCATGCACTCTCGAATCCAACTGGACGGAATGGGTGACCGGGCATCGGTGTTCCATGCCAGTAGATTGGTGTTCCAAACGGGGATATACCACTGAGCTGCATGTGGGATCCTGCTACATAAAAACAAGCATGTCAGATGTTCAGAACTGCAAATCAGGGGCAGTCCCTGGAGAACATAAGGTCACGTGGAAAACTGACAAATTTTTTGGAACAGCAGCTTTACTTCTGTGCATGAGGGACCACAGAATAATTCGTTTCAAATTGATCTAGAATGTATGAATTGCATCACAATCTCAACTAATAGGTCCTCTCTAACACAACTTTTCGAAATGTCGAGTACAAAGGTGAAGTGTGATAGATACGTGCAGGAATTAGGCTCAACATTAAAAACAGTCAGATTTCTACCATCTATCTGGCATCGAATCCGTTGCTGTTTTCACTTCTTCGTCATCAACGCTTTCATCTTCGTCAGTTTCAGATTTCATATTATCCTCATCAGAAAGTGGCGCTTTATCACCATTCGCCTGCTCAGATTCGTTCCCTGCCGCGACATCCACGCACTAAAGACCATCATAAGCATTCAAGATGCACATAGGTAGAAAAATTCGAATGTCGGGTCGATGTGTTGCATACTGACCTCTTGAAAGCTTCATTTTCTTGGTCGGGGATTGATCTGATCGATCCGTCAATAGCTCGTAGAGTTCCAATAACAATCCAGGATTTGATTGCGTGAAGAATTTGTACTCTGTGAAGCTTGAAAGCTCTCCCAAACTTCGAGCTTTCTTAAGAACAGCCTCTTTACACCCGCTTGAACAGTGTTTCTTGGCTACGTCAAAAATGCTGATGACATTATCGCTTGTCATATTCTTAACCAATGAATCCTCACACACCACTTCGAGAAACTGAACGTTGTATTTATGCGCTGCATCTAGTAATGTTGTTAAATATTCGATCAAAACACTGGAACTGACCCTGCCGGTGTAGAAGAAGGTAACGAAAGCTTTCAGTGCCACATACGGCATTTCAAGGTTCCATACAACCTTTCTATCTGTATCTGCGCGGAACATTGCCTCAAACTCAATTGATTTCGATGCCTGCAGTCCAGCTTCCAAGTTTCACTTCAACAAATAGAAGTCGAAAGATGTTGACAAGCCCAGATTTTAAATATGACGGAATCGTGACCATTTTCTATCAAACCAAAGAGGACCTTGTGTGAGCACCAGGAAGCAGAAGCAAGAGGATTCGAGAATTGAACGACATTATACCACTGATTTCTTTTCCGCAATCACATATGGACAGCGACGCCTCACAGACTCGTGAATTGTGCTTAGTAAGACTTGACCTAGTTCACTACACAGCGAAGGATCGACGAGAACCCAGCCTACAGACTTCATTCACAAATGTTCACCTGTTACTCATTAAGTAAGCCATAGTTCACCTCCATATGCAGTCTTAATCCCAGAAGCACACGTTGCCAAGACAAGTTAAGACAATGTCAGAGGCAGTCGGGACATCTCAACTATTGCCGCAATTTCGATATCACGTCAAGTATTCGCGATTTCTAAGTGCAGTCATTCAGAATTGCATTACGGTTTGACTAAATCCTAACGTGCAGCGACTGTAGATGAGACCGAATTATCTTTTTACCAACGTAAACTTTCAATGCTATACGCAATGCATTTTTCGATGAGGAGGCGAGCTACCGGAAACTGACCAAGATAGCCTTGTGGGCGTGCACACGATCACCATCCACACCTTGAAGTTCCACATCTACAAGAGAACCCTCCGCATCGGCTCCTGTGAACATGTCCGCTTTCCATGTAACTAAGAAATCGCGCTGCTGCTGCAATTCCTTAATCTGGGCACGCAAACTGGCCACAACACCAGCCGCTGCTCTGGCCCTAACCTTCAAATTGTCCCTCCGTTTCACGATTGATGATTCCAGCGGCCCTACAGATATGACGCCCCTCTTCATAGCCATGTCTACCGTTCACCAACTTTCCCTCGATCACGTGGGGCGATGTCCCTGCACCGAAACTATGATCCCACAACACAATGGCCCCATGTGACCAAATTTTCCAGCCTGCTGAGTAAAAGGAAGAAAAGATATCAACCAACGATCATGCAAAGAAGTACACTGGGGATGGTGCCTGCAAGAAAAGTCCAGAGCTTGCAACTGAAAAGAAACACGCGACTATTCTACACAAATGCATCAACAAGCATGGCCTGCTTAGAGACTGGTGCAACTGAAGACAGAGTGTCGACGCCAGTTCTGAGTGCAATCGAGGACTTACTGTTGACACCGCATAATTTTTCATTATTGACCTCATAGACGGCTGCCAAGAAGGAATCTGCAGTACTGTTCCCGTATCAATCTCAATGACGAGCCATGAGACGGTGTCCGAATCAACAGACAACAGTGTTGTCTGAACACAGCTTGATCAATGAATCCCACCATCACTCCCACTAAGGGCATACACCCGCAAGCCATGTTTGAAGTCCTAGAGGAGTTTGTTGCCAACCTGGAAATTAATAGTATTCCTCCATAATTTCCTCATTTAGTGTCGGTGCATTTGGATGAAAAAAGGATACTGCTTGTGAATTAGATTATTCTTATACTAAATTGATCCAAGTTTTTACTAAATTGATTCATCTATCATCATAGGTCTTTGTCATCATAACCATCATCTGCATTTGGTTTGATGGAATCATGGTTTTTAAAAATGGAGTTTGTACAATAGTTAACAATCAACAGCTACAATAATCAGTCCATTTCTTTTGCTCCACCTTCTAAAGATTATAACTTCTAATGTACTCAATTGTATCCCTTCTCACCTTGCACTATAGTCTTGTAACTTTTTGACATTGCCTCTAGTATTTAAGGAAGGAGTGACGGAACTACCTATTCTAAGATTATGTGCATTTCAAAATGAAAAACATGCTATACATGTCTCCTCTACAACACAGAGCTTTTGGATGTTTTGAAGATATAAAAAAAAATATAGATATATTTGCATATGCTCAAAGATATGTAATTTCCAAACAATACTTTGACAAGCATTGTATAGATTTCAAATGTGACAAAGAACAAATTTATAGTTAATGAAACAACCTCATCCTTCAATAAAGCTCACCAAGTCAATTGTTTGGGTACATATTTAAGATCCATGCACATTGTTTGCAAGATAGTATATAGTAGCATTTGAAAATATAAAATGATTATTATAATCAAAGGTCTTTAGTATCTTTTATAAATTATTCCATTACTTTGTAACTTCAACTAGCAAAAAAAGAGATGATAGTCTAAATGCTTATTGTAAGAATTAGACCAAAAAATATAGTAACTATACTATGTCAAAAAAATCATAGAAGTTGTATAATTACTTGTATTATTTATAATTAGTATCACTAAATGCATCATATTGCCCTGATGGATGTTGTCTATTATTTGTCTTATAAAAACCTTATGTGCTGTTGATTATTAGTTTACTTATCAATGTGATGAAAGTAACAAGATAATTTTTTTAATTTTTTGTACAACCTAAATGTGTTAAACTTGTAAAGAAATATTTATCCTCTATCGCTATAGATTTTATATATAAGATAAATTGGTTTAGGATACCCATATTGCAAATTGTGTATGCTTATTTGAGAATGCAATGAGATAAATCAAAGCATATAAGAATTTGGAACAAACTTAAGTATCTCATTAAGATAACATTAGTTTTTTCACAAATGTTGTAGAATGTGTGTCCATATGTATTCTAAATTTCATATTTAAGTAATTCAAATGTACAAAAGTTATATTAGATATAAATAGTTTTTTGTATATAAGTACATTAACAAACACATTAGAGCTACTATATAAACATTGGGTCTAAAGTATACTATGTAATAGTAATATTTTGACGATTGATGACTTTCATCTTTAATATCATTTGATGAATAATTATGATTTGTTGATTGTATGACCATTGCAAAATTAATTTATTTCTTTTAAAGATCTTAAATCTATCTTTAATATTATCAATCATATATTTGAGCTCCTATTATTCCATCAATAAAAAAAAAATACTTGTAAATAAATTTTGGAGCTTCTACCAATGATAGTGTAATTAAAAAATTCAACAATTAACTGACACAGATATATATTTATTATAATTGTTACTTAGGTGATATGAATAAGTAGAAGTAGGTAAAATTAGATTAATTTCATAATATCTTCTAAAGAAGCTTCCTAAAAGCTTCATAGACGCTAATTTCACTTTACATGTGTTTATACTTGATTGATAGGTTAGAAACTTAGTCAACAAGTTAACCACATACCACACATGTTTGTAGCTTGCAGAATAAGCTGACTATATGGCGCCCACATAGAAAACTTGTCTTGTAAGTTAAGATGCATGTTGTGCAAAGTCAACATATTTTTGGAGGTCCTATAGAACGTTACCACGTAGCTCTTAGGTAGATAGTATACAAAGAGGCAAGAAAGAAGTCTTTTTCATTCTTGTCAACTCTTTTCTTGCTTCTAGTTTAGTTTCAAGGGTCTCTAGTTTTCTTGTCTTTTGGCAATAGCCATTCCAGTTTCTTTTTTAATATACATATTTAGTTATTTCTATTTTGTCATCTTTCTTTGAGATAAGTCTCACTTGTTTATTTGTTTTTATGAAGTTCTTGTCTTTGACAAATTGACAAGAGTGCACTTATAATATCAGAGCTTTATCTAATCTTAATTAAGAGTGGATTACCTCTTTCTCTTGATAAGACATAAGCATATTAGAAGTTACGGATTATCCTTTTTTAAACTGATATTGTTCTTAGTATTTTCTTTGTTCTCAAGTCCTCTCTTCTATTTGTCTTGAGCGATATTAGACATCTTTTTTTTTCTAAGTATTATTATGGTAGAACTTTTTGAAATGAAGAGTACAATAGTACAAATGCAAGAGCAATTGAAGAAGTTAATGCTTGCGATACATCATCTCAATTTACCACCACAAGGAGCAATAAGATTGGCAGGAAGTGAAGTCATAGAAATGATTGGAGCTCCTTCAACATCTGCACCAAATCATGTCCCTTCTCCCATGGTGGAACATCCTTCCAGTGTTAGAAAACCAAGAATTTTTCTACCCAAGAGGTTTAATGGCACCAGATCAAAGTTTAGAGGATTTATCAATCAAGTACAACTTGTGATTGAAATTCAATCTCAAAGCTATCCAACTCTAGGATCGCAAGTTAGATTCAGTGGTATGCTTCTTTCAGGTTCAACATTATCATGGTTTTCATCTTTTCTTGAATGAAAAGATCCAATATTAGATAACCTGGAGGCTTTTTTGGCAGATTGTTTATCCATGTATGGAAAACATGATGCAATTTAAGTTGCAACCAACAAAATCCATATTTTTCGATAAGACAATCAATCAATAACATTGTATGCTTTATAATTTTTGACAACTTGCAATTGATATCAAGTGGGATGATATTGCACTTATCAACTAATTTCTCCACGGATTATAAGATGAGGTAAAAAAATTAATGTTCAACTTACGTGATCCTCAAATATTAAGTCAAACAATTGACTTTACTATGAAGTGCGACAATTATCTTTTTGAATTTTGATTTGAGAATTGTACAAGTAGACTTCAATATTACTATAATTCAATGGCAACACCAACACCTCTTCAATACATACATTTGAAAGTAGAGGATATGCAAATTAATGTAGTATATTTCAAACTTCTTGCTGAGTAAAAAAAGACTCGTCATTGTCAAGAAGGATTGTGCTTATTTTGTGGAGAACCTAAGCACACTACTCAATATTGCCCAAAAAAGTGACACAACCATAAAATGAGGAGTATGGCAATCAAAGAAGATAATATGTCAAAAAATGAGTTTTCCAGCTACAATAGGGACTGTGCAGTTGGAACCTTAAACAACACCTAGTGAAGGTCTTTTTCTCTCCTCAGAACCCTCTCATGGTTTTACAATAAATGTTATTTTAGAACCTAAACATCACAAAGCCTCTGCCTTATTAGATTCAGGAGCCTCAACATGTTTCTTAGATGAAGAATTTGCTAAAAGACATAGCATACTTTTAATGAAGAAAACTAAATGTGTTCATGTAAAAGTCATAGATGGTCATCTATTATTTTTAAGAGATGTTATTCATGAAGCCCTTTCTATAGAAGTAGCAACTAATGGTCATAGTAGCTTTGTAATATTTAATATCATTAGATCTCCCTTTAATCCAATCATTTTAGGTTTATCATGGCTAAAAAAATATAACCCTAAAATAGATTAGACTTCTCATAGTCTTAAATCTTCTGAAAGTATAATTAAGAGCATAATTAATCAAGTAAAAAGTCATAAGTCTAGTACAATTAAACCTATATTTTTAGGCGCAAGAGCTTTCTTGTATGCTGGAAAAGAAAGATCACCTTATGTCATTTATGTTGCACCTGTTTCTAGTGATGGAAAGACTTCAAGTGGCATTCCAAGCTAATATCAAGATTTTCAAGATGTATTTGAGAAGAAGAATGTGAATACTCTTCTAGAACATTGTTCCTATGATTGCTCAATTGACCTTCAAGAACGAACACAACCACCATTTGGACAATCTATAGTTTATCACAAAATCAGTTGGCTAAAGTCAAGGAGTATATTGAAGAGAATCTGGCTAAGAACCTCATACGCCATTTCAAATCTCCAACAAGAGCTCTATAGAATATGTAAATAAATTTTGTGGTAAGTTACTGGTTGGTTATTCATAACCTTGAGAATTAGACTTATGGTTAAGTAGTTTAGTTGATAATAGTAGGTTGTTACTGAAACAAATGGTTAAGAATTCAAAGAGTCATAACCTTTGGAATGTGCTGGCCGATGGTCCATCTTTTGGTTGGATAAAGAGGTTGAGAAAAGGGAGATCGGGGCCAGACTCTGAGAGTCGTAAGTTAAAGAGCCAGACTATAAAAGTCATAAGCTAAGGGGCTAGATTGTGAGAGTCATAAGCTAAGGGGCTAGATTATGAAAGTCGTAAGCCGGGGGGGCCAAACTATGAGAGTCATAAGCCGAGGTAAGCTTGGTGCTATCACTTTGTTTTCTTTGCTTTTATTATTTGCTTATGAAGAATTGTGATTGAGAGAAGTATTATTGAAACTGTGATTAGAATATTGTAGAATATGACTTTGGACTGACCGTTTTGGAGAAAATCTATGACCTTGAGAATTGATATTATCAAATTGTGTTGTGTTAAGTGAAGATATTGAATTTTGTGTAATGAATTGAAAAATTGAATAT